ACTGAAGTATGTGGTAGTATTTGAAAGGACTTAACATTTACGTGTTTATAGAAAGTACTATTGATAGGTAATTACCATTGTATTAGCCTATTTAAAGTCGACTCTTTACATTTTGTCATGAAAACTAGCGATAGCTAGCTAGTTTGGATAGCGCTAACGTCTTCCCTTCAAGGCAGGGGTAGCCAACACGGTGCCCGCGGGCACTCAGTCTCCCGCAGGGGCAACGTGAGTCGCCCGCGGAGCATGTTCTAAAAATAGCTCGCCAAGCAAATCCAAAATGTATAAAATACACAAAAGAAAAAAGGAAATGTAATTAAAAGAATCTACCCTATGCATAAACAAAACCTAAATCATAGCGAACTCTATCTACTGACTACAACTCTATATCTATCTAACACCCCTCCTCCCCCACAATGAATATCGACCAATCACATTCTTGCTTGATTTGCGGGACCAGCGTCAGCCCCATTGAACACAGCCTAGTCATGCCAGCCTATACTGCACATGAGGGGCAGAGTTTTACTCTGTGTGTTGTAACTTGCATATATATATTTATTGCACTTGGCGCACACACACGCATGGTGTAATCTCCACTGGGGACATGTCCCCAGCACTTTTCGAAATCCCGTTTGTGTCCCCCCACTTTACAAATATGTTTATTATTATTTTTTAACACAAGCCGCCATCGCCACGGAGGAGCACACAGCCTCTGTGAGCGAGCGAGACAGAGGAAGAGAGAGAGAGAGAGAGAGGGAGCTAGGGAGAGAGGGAGAGAGAGCGAGAGAGGTAGGGAAAGCACACTTTTATCTATTTAATATAAAGTAAGAAATCATTCCAATGTGTACTATAGGACAGTACAAAAAACAGTTTAAAAGTGATCAGTAAAATATGCATAAAGAAAAAGATAGAATGCTAACTAGGTAACAAGATAAGAATAAACAAGTTTAAATGATTTGTTATTGGTTGTGATCATATTCTAAAGATGTTTGGATCATTGAAAAGTATACAGCTCCCTTTCATCTGAGAGTTGAGAGCTGTATCCATAAATTCATTTTGTGCTCAAAGTGCACCAGATTGATGCATTTCACTTCAACATTTAAAAAAACATCTTCCAGGACCCCCCTAGAGGATGTGAGGTCCCCCCTAGAGGATGTGAGCCCCCCCTCCCAAATATAGCAGGTTAAAATAATTAAATTGCATACATGTTATTTGAGTAAACACTAAAAACGGGTCCCACAGACCCAAACAGCACACACAGGTTAAAGGCATATAATAATGTTAAAATGTGCTAAATATATACACTGAAAAAAAAAATGAAAAAAAGAGGAGTAAAAGTAGCCCCCGACTTGTTTTATTTTTTTAAAGTAGCCCTCATCCTAAAAAAGGTTGGTGACCCCTGCTTCAAGGGGTCTACATCTAGTGTTGCTTCTACAAGCTAGCAGATAGCTGTCACCTTTGAATCTAGTATTTTTCTTGCTAAGCGGTTTTGATATAATACATGACTGACTTATGTGGTTTATGGCTGAACTTAACGTATACGTTAAAGAAACACTATTGCTATTCAGCCATTTGTAAAACGACTGGTGTTGACGTTAGTGCTACACTTTTCAGTCATGTTGATTGACCAGCGTAATTTAACCAAACGGCCTTTGTGCCCTGTCATGTGGCCTTTGTGCCCTTGAAAAAAATGTGAACGGGAAGGCCAAATGGCCTTGCCCCTAAAATGACGAAATTCCAAGCCTGGTACTTGAGTAGATGTACTTAATAACTTTACACTACTGTTATTAGTACTTTTAAAATGAAACATAAGAATATTTAACTGATAATACTTCTGTTCTTTACTTAGGTTGGATTTTAAATGCAGGTGCTTTCTTCACAGACTGAGTAAGACCTTTATATAAAAGCAGAACTTAGATAAGTTATCTTTTTTAAACTGTTGCATACGTTGTCTCTTACCTAAGCCCATTGGTTTCCTTTTGTAGTTCCTTCCTCTTTCGCATAAGAGGAAGGAACTCCAGAAAAAAGAGTGTTTATTTGTATTTTCTCAATTTACAGTAAATCGATGAGGGGAAAGCACTCACTCAATGCCGTCCACTTATTCTGCCAACATCCTCTTCCTCTTCATTCCTGCCTTTCAAAAGGCTGTTGACGAAATCCAGTGCAGCTCTTGTGTAGACTGCCCATGTTTGTGCTCTTAAACAACACTGCACTCAGACACTTTGTTCCTAACAGCCATGTCAATTGAACTTCAAAGTGTCTTTTCCCAGTGAGTACATAGCTGAGGGATGCAGTGATGGCCAGTTTATTTCCCCAGTAACACCATGCTCGAGTCAGGTGGCTCATGTTAGGATTCAAGCAGGTTCCTAAAGGCTGACATTTTAGATGTTCAATTAATACATTCTATGAGTTTGTTATTCATTAATCTAAAAAAAGAAATGCTGTTTCTGGTACATTTTCATCCTTGATGAAATATTCAGAGACACCATGGGACATTAAAACACTACTTTAAAATACTCACTAATGTAATCCACTTATAGTTAGCAGCCCCATTAAACATTATTGCCCACCCTCTGTATTTAACCTCTGGGATACTTAGCAGGGTGAACAAACAGATTGTAAGGGCAATAAAGTATATATTGATTGAAAAATATTGTATGGATTATTCAGATTTAGTGAGAGGAACCTGCTTCTGCATTTGGATCTGATGTTTTCTGATTCATCTATTCACCAGTAAATCTTTTGACTCCTCACTTTTATAATGTATGAATGTATTCCTGCTGCTTCAGTGATTCCAGTCTTCTGTATCACAGAGAGTCGTGTCCTTGATCTATTCTGTGTTATTTTGTCTTTTTCTACAAATATCTTCCTGTTGCATCAGCTCTGCGTGAATCCAGTGTCACAAAATTAGAAAAGCACCTTATGTTTATGTGTCTGCTGCCGCGTTGCAACACCTTTTGTCACCTCAACCTTTCTGACACTGCTGGGAAAGTCCCTTATTTCGGCTTTACACGACATACCTGCAACACCTGCCTGGAACCTCCATGATTATTTGTTTAGTGCATGTCTAAGCACACATAACATACCAGAAAAGAATGAATCAGCCATGTTTTTCTCGCACGGCTGCCCCCTGTGGAGCCTTTTTGCTGCTACCGCTGCTACAACATAACACAACACAACACAACACAACACAACACAACAAAGACCCTAACTGAGCCTTCTTTGTGGGCAAAAAAAACAGACATATATTTTCACTGAACAATGTGATAAATCTAAATGTGGTTTGGAATTTGGAGGACTTCAGCATTTATTTAATACTACCTACGACCTTGCTCCACCTGTCCCTGCTTGCTCCGATAATGACAAATCATATCAATAATAAATGATAATAATTATTTCAGGGAAAGCTATTAACTAAATGAGGTAATGTTTAATGATCAAGCCTTGCATATTAGACATTCAGCTCAATGTACATTATAAAATGTTCCTTTGGCCGCAGAGCTTTAATAGACCAATGTGAACAATTATTTAAAGTGCAAATTGGGACCCTGTCTACATTTCTCATTTGATTTGTCCTCTGTCTCATGTCAGGAGGGGTGAATTGTCTCTGAAAAAGGTTGTCCTGCGGTGATGAAATACTGTAACCAAGTCTTACAGCAAATGTTGAGCTCGGACTGCATTTTAGATAACCTGTGACGTCACTCTGTGAAACCAGATCTTACCAGCTTGCATAATACAATGTGGTCGTGTTTTTGTGAATTTATGTGTGGAATACTAATGTGATGGTTTCAGACAGGAGCCTACATTGCCTGAAACTCAAACATGTTCTCCCTTTGTTCACGTGAAAACACATGTAAGAAGTTGAAAGAAGGTTTTTGAATAAGATTAAGAGCAGGGCGCAGGAAGTGACTGACACGGTAAAGGGGACTAAGGCCTGATGTCAGACGGTAACAAAATATCCAAAATTCACACAGGGAACTCAAGTGTTTAAGGACTAAGCTTAAGTGAAGGTGCCTCAGAGTGATTTACATACATTAACCAACATCAAAAGGACTCTTTGCACACCTCTGAGTAATTTTTACTTCAAAAGCTCCTTTCTCTCACTTTGTGAAATTAACCGTGACTTCCTCCGCTTTCACCTGTATAATAGAAACACGACCCTGCTGATGTGATATTAGGCCGTAAATAGAAAAAGGCCACTGACCTCGAATATCCCTGGATGTTTATCCGGCAGCACACTGAAAGATCTTGCAATAGAGAGTCTCATTATCCTTTCCTGAATAAGCCACATGTCGTGTTTTTTCCTATTATTGTGTACAGTATGGCTATTCAAACAAATGCCTTCTCTGTAGAAAACTATACATCCACATGTTGTGAAGGGAGAGACTCCTCTGACAGCAGGTCATCTCGTTCGCATCAAATACATTTTTTCCCTCCTTCTCATATTAAAGAGGCGTCCGTGTAATAATAGCCGTGGGCATTGGATAACTAAATGTGATTTAATAACATATGATCAGACAGGCTTGCAGAGACCGCCACTCATATTTCAAAATGGACAGTTGTTTCCACGGAAACCATGTTTGTGGGTTTGTGGAGCGTTGGAGATAAATTGCAGCAGTATCTCCCTAATAATAATTTCTATTATCGGCGCTGGATGTTTATATTATCATGTAAATAAGGGGACGTGCCAGGCGACAGCAGGTGGGAGCTGAGGGCTGGTGAATAGAGGAGATCAAATAAAACAGTTGAATAATCCTCACATGTGGGTGTGCCAAGAAACACACAGTGGAATAAGGTAAGCCACAATGACTTCTTTTTTTATGGGGTTTCTCTTCAGAAACTCAAAATAGGAAGCTAGAGGCAGTGAGAAAATGTGTGAACTTACAAACCACCAACGCTGACAAGAAGTTGCTCAAATTGGCGAGGAGTACAAAAAACCTCCCCTTGGTTTGTGACTGGACTATAAGACCTGAGCTTCTGTCACACATGTTCACTTTATTTGAGGAACTCATCAGAAAAGGGTAAGAACTACTTTAACTAGCATTTTCTTACTATCATATAGTTATAAAGTTATATATATGTTAATGTGAATGAAAGCTTTTATAGATATTTGCTTCAGTCTTTTATTTGTATGTTCTTGTTTGAAGAGGCAGGCATTAGATACTGAAAATACTAATTTCCCCGCTGTAGTTAAGTCATTATGTTTCTGAGGGTCATCATTTTCACAACATGTTCAGTATTTGTGCACACACTCAAAACAGGGTTAGGACGTTAATGATAAAGGCATCATTGTGCTGTATTTACGACAAGGAGGAAGCAATAACACGGCATTATGGTTGTATAAAGAAACCATGGGCAGGACCAAAGCACTGACTCCTAATTAAGAGATAATTCAGCTCCGCAATAAACTCTGAAGTACGGATAAAGAAAATAATTAAGAGGTAATACAGGAAAAAAGGAATTAAAGTTTATCTTCATGTGGTCTCTCAGCTTGTTGGCTAAAATTGTGTGTTATAAAAGTGTAGCAGTGCCCAGTAGGAATATTGCGCTGTGCAGAGTGCTAATCTCTTTCCATTCTGTCTTATCAGCAGAGCTCAAAGCCCTCGAGGAAATGATGATTGTTGGTTTATCGGTAGGGACAGGAAAACCACGCTGTCTCGCCGGGTTTGTTCCAGGCCACTGACCCAATAAGAAGCTTCGTCTCCTGCGGTTCTGACTGCCTGAAAGATCAAACCTGGCTGTGCCGCAGTGTATTCATTCCCCCCAGGGTCAAGGACATAATGTGACACATCTCAATCCCTGACTGCCTGACTGACACACACCGAGGCCACCATGCAGGAGTGCCACACCGCACTGTGTCTGTCCGTCTACATTATCACCTTTGTGCTGGGCTTTCCGGCTAATCTCCTCGCCCTCTACACCTTCTCCAAGAAAGTGAGGAAGAAATCCACGCCGATCGACATCCTGCTCCTCAACCTGACAATCTCTGACCTCCTCTTCCTCCTCTTCCTGCCCTTCAAGATGCAGGAAGTAATGAACAACATGCTCTGGGACATGCCCTACCTGTTGTGTCCGCTGTCTGGCTTCATCTTCTACATGACCATTTACAACAGCACCTTCTTCCTCACTGCGGTCAGTGTGGAGCGCTACCTCGGCGTGGCTTTCCCCATCCAGCACACCCTGAAGCGTCGTCCCGTGTATGCCGTCGCCGCCAGCATCTTCTTCTGGATCTTCTCCTTCCTGAACCTGAGCATCGTGTTCGTCATGCCCTTTATCCGCTCTGACAACCCTCTGAATACTACCTTAGGCCTCAATGACACTGCCGTTGATCAAGAGAGGAAGGAAGTGTGTTATGAGAACTTTACCGATGCCCAGCTGAGGGTCCTCCTGCCCGTGCGTCTGGAGCTCTGTGTGGTTTTGTTCTGCATCCCTTTCCTGATTTGCAGTTTCTGTTACATCAACTTCATCAGGATTTTGACCAAGCTGCAGCACATTGACCGCCGCCGGCGCCTCCGGGCCATCGGCATGGCTCTAGGAACAATTCTGGTGTTTGCTTTATGTTTCGGGCCCTATAACGTCTCGCATATTGTCGGTTATATCACATGGAGAAGTCCCGACTGGAGGGACAAAGCGTTGCTGTGCTGCACCTTTAATGCTTGTCTAGACCCTCTTATTTTCTACTTCGCCTCTTCTGCTGTGAGAAAGAATGTTGGTAGTGTGATGGCAGGGGTTAGGAGTCGCCTAAACCGGTGCATGTCCTGTCACATGCTCAGGGCCTTGTGTGGGGGGATTAACGAGACTGCAAAAGATAAGGAACACAAACAAGAAGAGATCAATGCTATCTAGGCTGACTGAGAGAAAGCTGTGAGCAGCTGCCTTCGCTATGTTCTTTCTTCATCCCTGGAAGCAGGGAATCAATGCCATGTTTATGTTTTTACATGTGTGGGGATGGCCTGGCATACTGTATGTATACAGTGCAGCATGTCCCTCTTTGATTCAACTTCCCTCTGAGAAACGAGACCAAAGAGAACCGCTTCGGTCTGTCGGAGCAGACCAGAGCAGTTTGTATGCACTGTGATAAGAATAGCCAGACCACTTTGAACTGCCATATTTTAAAGGAATAACTGTTCTTACAGAGCAGCAGGATTTCATAAAGATCTCCCTCCATGCAGTTGGTGTTGCCGAGTGCTCCGCCAACAAAGTGTATATCTTAGCAACAGTTGTAGACGTCACCTCTTAGCAATAATAGATAAAGCTTTCCTAATAGCTTTAACCATGGACAGGATATTTCTTCTTTTTGTTACAACATGTTCATTATGTAAAAAAGGAGGAGAGACCGGGATTTGTGCAGCTTTACAAAAACACATAGTATGCAGCTATAATGTTGTTTGCTTTTTATGTGAACATATAATTCTGTGTTTTGCCTTACATGGGAGACCATTGTCATGCGGATTTTAGTTTACAAATCTATATTTATATTGGATTTGATTATATGGTCATGTTTAAACCATACGTGGTACTAAAGAATCATATTTGTATGAAATGCTGTATGAATATATGAAATCTGAAAGCCGTATGACGGGGGATGTTATTGCAAAAGAGAAAACACAGAAATGCTATTTGCATACAGAAATTGAATAAACATATATTTTGCATAATGTGTGACTCATAGACTATTTTCTAAATGCAGCAGTCAGATTAGAGATGATACACGTAATGTGACGTCATAAGGACGAACGATAGATCTACTATTTCCATAAACAAATCATGTAATCATATTTTTTGGATGAGTGAGCGATGCATTTTAACCACTCATCTTTATATCCACTGCATAACATGACTTTAGATGTGATCAACTTATCAGCCATGTATGTCAAATGCACACCTTTTTCATATATAATAATATTCATAAAAATAGTAAAATAAATGAGAATAGCTTGTGAGCAACAGCACGTTTTATTGAACAGAAAAAAAGGTTATTTGACACCAAATCACTTTAATCTAAATCTGGTTACACTGTAGATACAGGTCATTATTAGTAGCAGTATTCGGTGCTTTTTGCAGTGTGCGTATGTCTTAAATGTTCCCAAAATACATGAATAAAGATCTCACCCCACACACTGCGCACGTAAACAATGCTATCACTCAAGCAAGCACTGGCATGACCTGTAATCCTGTTTAGTGAGGATTAGGTCTGCGTGGAGGCTGAGCTGATCACTGTATCTGTTTGACAGGTGGATCATGCATGAAGCATCCATTCTGACACACAGACCAGAATGAATGGTTTAAGATGTGCGAACTACCAGCCACTGGCACAATGAGCAGATCAACAAAAAAAAACACCCAAGTCAGCACACCGTGGCGATGAAGAGTTGTAGATATAAACCGCTTTGATGTGAAAGAAATCAGCATTGCATCAACATTTAGATGATATATGGTAGGCTAGAACAGTGTACAGCAAGTGGTTTAGGAACGGGACAAACTTTAATAAAGGGGATTTAACACATTTACTCAGAATTAACCTTTGAGTTCATTCTCATTTTTCAGTGATTACTTTATTTGCGTGACGCTGTTTGTCAAAGGTTGGTCTGCCGAGATGAGCTGCACGGAACAACCAGCGTCCCTTTTTTTGTTTTCCAATTTCAGTTTGTATTTCCTGGAGGACAATAATTGGTTACTGAGTCAGTGTTGACTTTACCTGACAATGTGTGATAGGTTACGGAGGACAAGGCAATAAGAAAAAAATAGCCCTGTGCTGTGTGTTTAAAGTATGTGTGTGTGTGTGTGTGTGTGTGTGTGTGTGTGTGTGTGTGTGTGTGTGTGTGTGTGTGTGTGTGTGTGTGTGTGTGTGTGTGTGTGTGTGTGTGTGTGTGTGTGTGTGTGTGTGTGTGTGTGTGTGTGTGTGTGTGTGTGTGTGTGTGTGTGTGTGTGTGTGTGTGTGTGTGTGTGTGTGTGTGTGTGTGTGTGTGTGTGTGTGTGTGTGTGTGTGTGTGTGTGTGTACATGATGGTGTTTGTCAAAGGTCTCTACCTTATACTGTAGTCTCACATAGTGGACATCATTTTGCCTGCACTCTGCAATGTTTGACCGCTGTTTAGAGAAAGACAACATCAATGAAATATAGTCTCTTAATGACTTCCTGTTGTTCTTGCTAAGAGCTTTAACAACATTTACCTTCCAATAAAAAGATGGCGGTCACAGCAGAGAGGAAACACATCTTGAAAATGTTCAAGTGTCCAATCAGCTCATTGGGGGAGGCATCTGGAGAGAAAGAAAAGGACCAACACTGATTAGCACCAATTTATCATGTTTTCGAGCACAACAGAATTAAATCAGGAAGGTTGAACTTGCTTTAATTGATGGACACTCGCCTCCTCGCTGGGAGGAGAGGTGTTTAAACATTGATTAGGAAAATCATTAATTTGTTCAAGTATGCAGTATTGCAGCAATCTGTTGCCTTGGAGTGATCGATGTCTGACCCACATTAACAGTCATGTAGGGCAAACGCAGAACAAGCGACTTGTGGTATGTGAGGTCTCTCATGCCTGAAACCTGTGTACAGACTGCGTTATTTGAAAGGAAGTTGCATTTCGACTAGCAAAGTTGGGCTGGGTTTCTCAGAAGTAAAAGCCCTGCTTAATTTCTACAAGTTCAGTTTATTTGCAGATGGAGTATTTGTCAGAAAATCAAAGGTACAAACTTACAGTATGTACATGAAGACATTTAAGGCTGCTATTATCATTATTTTTGAATTCATAATTGATAAACCCATTGAGAACTATCAAACATATTTTCAGTTTCTTTCAGCTCTATTATTTCCATTCACAGAACAGAATTTGTTTTGCAGCTAAACTCTGATAAACCACACATTATTGTATTTTCTAAAGCTTTGTTTTCCCCTTTGTCTGTTTGTTTGCTGGATTTCTATTGCTTTTTGTGTCAAAAAAGTGTACAATGTTACTTCTGAAATAAAAAGGCAATAGAAAGTAAACTCTGATAAACTAACTGCATAAACCTGCCCAGCACCAAACAGCAGCAAGGCAAAATGTGCAACTACAGTGAACATGGTTTAGCAAACAAACAAAGAAAGGGTCAGATACTCAAATACTTTCCTCAGGAGATGGTGAAGACCAAAACCAGAGCTAAAAGTAGAGGGGGTAAACCTGTTAAGCCCGAAGGTCCCCGCCGGCGGGTACTTTCGTTTTTTTTTTTTTCACGACACTGTGTCTCAGGGGATCTTACTATTTAAGAACCTATTAATGTGTTATACCAGATTAATGGGAATAATCTCAGCTAACTGACGATATAAACCATTTTTACCAAAACAAAACACAAGTCTCATAAGAAGCATCTAAATGACCCCTGAGCGAAAAATGCTAACCTATTACTGCACCGATAATCACTCCTAGCTCCCTTATTACTTATCCTAGGTGCACATCCAACACATCGTTTATGATCGCAAGGAGACACATAATCTAACGGTGCCCACCTCAACACTGAAAGATACAAACTCGTACAAAAACGTACATCAAAACAAGTGGCGCTAGGTAGCCCACAACGCTAACATGGCTTACCTTCGTCTTTGTCTGGTCTAAACTGGTCTTCAATGGCATTAAAACGATAAAAACGATGGTGTAGTTAATCCATAGGTTAATCCAATGTGTCTGCGTCCCCTTTGAAATGTTCTGATAATCCATAAGTAATAAAACAGCTTTTCCGTTGCTTGATATCAGAGCAGCGATATTTCTCCCCTCTGCTGCAAGCTAGCATGCGCAGACAGGCTACCTTTTTTTTTAAAAACATGAGTGTGTGTGGGACGATTTCCCTTGGATTCTATTGGCTCTAACGGTCAGAAAGAGATGTCACATGTCAAAATCGAACAAGGGGGGCCAGAGATATGGAAAATCCACCCAAATGGCCCCAGAAGAGGTTTTTTTTGCTAAATCTGTCTAAAAAGGTCAAATATCACTTGTTTTGCATCAATCTTGATACAGGGTACTTATTATATGTTGTACTTTGGATTCCTAAAGCTTTTAGTCTACCTTACCATCATCCAAGGTTAGTTTTCACTATAAGTACAAAATATATTTTGGACGGACACTATAATTTATATAAGGTTTTTTACCATGTTCAATCTGAATTTTTTTTAAAATAAAAAACATCTATATTGATTCTGACTTTTCTACATCCAACTCACAGGTTTATCATTACTTTGAGAACAAAGATTATTAATTTAACCCTTTTAGAAGGGAAGATATGGTCATTTGTTCTGGGAATGTCATTTTCGAGCCTGAAACCTGAAAAACAGGCTTGGGGCCTAACAGGGTAGTAACATTTCTCAGGTGGCCACAAACAATACTAATTCTGCGTATATTATCTACTATTACTATTAAATAACTGTTGTTATCAACTTTTTGATAGTGTACAAATTCAGTTTTGTAATTTTTTGTAAAATATTTGTAATTTCCTTTTAGAGAAATATTGCTGCAGGCTAACGGCTAAAGGTTATACTTTGTATATACCTAATAATGATGCCTTCAGCAGTTGTATCAGTCCACTCTCAGATTCTGAGTCAATTCAGTAACTATTAGGGATGTAACGATATATCGAATATCTTAAACATTTCTTTAAAATATATATTCTTTTTTAATTTTTTTTTTTTTTAAACCTTTATTTAGCCAGATCAGATGGTCTCATTGAGATCATCGATCTCTTTTTCAAGGGAGACCTGTCCAACATGGCAGCAAGTAGGTTACAACATGAACATAAAACAACACAAAAGGACATCGTATTTACAGGGCTACATGTACATACCTAGAGACATTGACAAGTACCAACAGTATATTTATATCTCGCCCTGTCAATAAGCCTCACCTTCTTGGCAAAAACTGTATTGTTTTTGAAGCGGTGGAGAGACAATGCACAGTTTTACCCACTGCTGTCACCCTTTGCCAAAGCATATCTCTCTGTCCCAGTAACATCAGTACCAAGCAAGAGAGTTTTTTCCACAGCAGGGAAATGTGGACATGCTCATATTCCTAAAAGATAACCTTGATGATGCTGAGTGAGTGAGTTAGAGTTAAGTTACTTGAAAAACTAAAGTGAAACTTGATTTATTCTATTGCAGGGTCTGATTATTATATTATTGACACTTTAAAATACTACTATCCTACTAAAATGCTGTACAAATCAGATTTATTATTGAATAAAGACAAAAAAATTCAAGTAAAAAAAACAAAAACGCGATATTATCGTACCGTGAGTTTTTGGTATCGTTACATTCCTAGTAACTTTATGCGTTTCTTTCTCCAAAAAAAAGAAATTACAACTGCTCTACATTTTCTACAGCAGTGATTTGTAATATTTAGAGAAATCTGTCAAACTGAACTCACAGAAAATAAATATGATCTCTAAAGCGAAATTAAATATTTAAAACTATTGGGGATAATATAGTCCTGTATTATATAAGCTATGCAAACTACATTCTCCTGTATAGCATGTTTGGATATGAATCAGTTCTTTAATTTACCCCAAGTGAAAGAGGTGGTCAAAGCCGCGGTCCTTGCAGGGTGGTCCTGCACGCTACATGTGAAGGTGATCCCTGTTTCCAAGGATTCCTTCTGTGGGAGGAGGAACACGCTGAAGAGATACGCTTCCCGGCTGTGGTTGTCCGTCACCTGGAAACACTTTGGGTTCCCCAACCGGTCTGAAGACAGCACAGCTCCATCAGTCAGGTGTTCAGACAGCTCAGCATGAGGGTGGGGCGCTGGGAGGGTGCAGTTGGTGAGTGGTAGGTGATCAATAATGGCTCCTGCACTCTGGTACGTCCAGGTGAGGGTCAGCTCGCTTGGGTGGAAGCCCCCAGTGAGACAGAAGAGAGCCCACTGACCAGTGTGAGGGTCTGTGGGACTCTGGAGGTAAATCTGGGGTGCAGACGGTGGTGCTAGCAGGAAAAAGAACAGGTAAGAAACCAAGTAAACACATCAGATGAGATGATTCAGAATGTAAATTTAGGTCAATGAAGCAGGCGTTAGAGTAAAATAGGACAGAATTATGGAAAGAGAAAATGAAGTAGTAATGTATTAGTTATCATGCAGCCATTTATTTTGAAACAAGGACAAATTAAGCAGAAATAGCTTTATTTATACAAAATTATGTTTGCATGGTGAACAATGTGCACATTGATAAAGTCTTCTGAGACATAAAGAAAAACGTTTTAAAATAGTACTTACAGAACACAAATGAAAAATTAACTATATGATAAATATCTCCACTTCTATTTGCACTCTTACTATTTGCGCTGTACATCATTCTTGGTAAATATAGCCATTAAAAAAAACCTGGAACAAAAACGAATGAACAGGACTAAAATGGGTAAACAAATGAAATATCAATTGTAATTTGATGAAGGCAACATTGCATCCAGAGAAAAACAAAGGGAAGCTTTCTGCATGAAAGATTTCCACATAATAATTTGGCCATCCCTCCCTGCCTTGTTTTCTGGTGAGTTTCAATTCCCTGGGCTAGATCGATACAAGGCACTGCACATGGTGCCGGGGTGATTATTTCTAGATCTGTCATGAAACCGCTGAGGCAAAAAGATGAACTCTGAGGGAATTTCCCATGACTTGAATTTGTATAGATTGAGCCCGGCCATTTCTGTTACGGTGAAGCATGGTTGGTCTAAACCACATGTGTCAAACTCAAGGCCCGGGGGCCAAATCCGGCCCTTGGTGGATTTAATTTCGGCCCGCAGGATAATTTCTAATTACTATTAGATCTGGCCCGCCGGTATATTGCACGCATCCAAGATGAGATGCCAAGTATGGCTTAGTGTGCATCGCAGAGCTGCGAACTGAGTTTCAATGGATGTTTCCTTCTGCACTTTTTTTTCTTGCGACAACAGGGCATGTTTGTTTTTTTCTTTGAGGGAAATTGTTTTTTTTAAGCTGTTGTTGGCCTGTGGAAAAATGTAATCATAAGCAATGACTCTGATTATTTAATGTTTAATGTTGTTTTTATAGGCAATAATTTAAGCTTTGTTAGTTCCAGGTTTAATATGTGCAATAAGTTAATTTCAATAAGTTTTGCAATAAACATTGAACCAGTCCGGCCCTCAACTAGTGCCGATTTTTTTATTTTGGCCAACTGTGTATTTGAGTTTGACACCCCTGGTCTAAACAGACGCTTGTATGGAGCCTCAAGCCTCACAAAAGACCCCAAATGAGATATAATTAGCAGCATTGCAACATCACACATGCACAGCAACTCTGATGAAGTTCTGCAATGATGAATTGGTTTCTTACCAAACACAACCAGCTCGGTCCCGTTGCCCCACTCTGGGTCTTTCTGCAGGACGTTGACCTCGCAATAATACCACCCAGAATCCTCCAGTGTTACCTCAGCGATCACCAGGGAGGAAGTTTGATTCTTCTCCACAACGAACTGCCTGGATGACTTTGGGATGAGCTGCTTTTCCGACTTCATTTTGAACCACTGAACCCCATACTTCAGGGATTCAACTTTGAAATGACAGGAGAGGGTTGCCGTTTCACCCCGCATCACACTGAGAGAGGGGGGGTTGCTGTCTCACCCGCAGTCCCTCTGGGGTAGCTGTCAGGGCTAAAGACAGACCCATTAATACAACATGTCATACAAGGAACTTTTAGAAAGTGCAGAGCAGACCCGCAGGTCAACTACAAATACTTTAAATGTGCGTTTAGTATTCCTGAGTGACAACTGGGACGGAGAACAGACAGAAAACTCTGAAGCACACAATTGAATTTCACTTTACCATAATGCTCAAAACACTTATTGAATGGCTCCTAATGCGATAAACAGCACCTAACCACAAAAGCTGATTTCTTTTCAAACAAAGACGAATGCAGACACTCTGGAGTACAACAGATTTCAACGGCATTGCAGTTTCTTTTTGATTGTGGCACTTGTCTGGCTATGTGTGACGAAGTGATTATTAAGTACGATGATGAAATACTGCAGATGATAAGCAAAACACTCAGGAACTCACAGTGGAGCAGAGACGACAAAAAAGATCATCAAACTAAAAAGTTAAGGTCTAAAAAGAAGGTTGTATAACTAAATCTTGTACTTCAATTAATTGGAGCAGAAGCCAGACTTTTGCACCAATTCAATCATTGTTATACACTTATATTTCACTTTAATGTCATTTAAAACTTTTCAAATGGATACCTAAAGAAACGAACCTAGAAAGCCAACACGTTTTGTAACATGCCTGATTCACACTGACCTGGTTTTTGGCCTGCCCACAAAAGCAGCACACACAGGTGAGTTAGTTTTGCCATGCTGCTGTTGTTGTTCCCCACTCCAAGCTTGAGTGGTGAAATAACCTCTCAGACACTCTCAAGTCTGAAACTCGCTGTGCTTCAAAATGTGAGGGTGTCAGCTTGTTTTGTTGTTGCACTCTATGGTTAGAGGTGATGGTTCATTAATAGGTCATTCTTCAACAGAAACCTGAATCTCAGAGACTGTTTTTGTTGAAACATGTCAAGATTCTTGTCAAACAAATTGACATTGTGTTTGCATGCTGACAGAAACCACAGTGCAACAGCAAGCATTATTCTACAGGTTTATCCTTCTTTCTACACTGGGCTCTTTAAATCACAATTTGTCAGATTTATACTTTGATTTATGTAATAACAGTAAAGGAAAAAATAAGCCTCAGGCCACTAAAGGTTTGTGTTTATAGCCAGTTATCATAAAAACAACTGCTTATTTACAAGATTATTAAAACACCATAACACAAATAACCTCTTAATATAAGTTGAAGTAATGATCACACAAAAACAACTCAAAATTCTGAGCCAAAACATCCTCACAAGTAGCATGAAATGATGTCTTCTGGTTTAGAGGATTTGCAGGATATAACTCAATGTGTTAATGTGTTCCAAAACTCATGTTTGATTTTGGCTTTTTGAGGTTTTCTTTCCGTGCGATAGCTGTAAATATGAATTTCCTGAGTGGCCTAATGAGCTAGAGTATAATTAATTCAAAATCTGCGTCCAATCTCTGGGGGGAAGAAGACATGTGGTACTAGGTGTTATCATCATCATCAAAGCAGGCAAACAAGCTTAACAATATGAGTTCAGCTTGAGGAAAAAAAGTCAGATAAAACTTGTAACCCTGAATGTAAAACTTGCAACCACTTAAAGGGACTTTACGTTCCTTTATGTAAGTCAAGGTGCTCTGAAAAAAGCTACATATGTGAACTAATATAAACAAAAAAATCACAGACTTTATAAAGAGAAGTAATCAAAATACGAGGGCATCAGTTAAATAAACACTTCAATACTTTCTGATGTTCTAATCGCCTTTAAAATTACAATTCTGGATTGTTTGGTTCCAGTTTTTGTATCAATGTCATCTTTTTACGTCATGCATATCTAACAAATACAACCCCTTCGGTTGCATCGTTACAGTATGTACTTAAAACATCACATTAAAGTACATGTATGGGATAAGGCAAAGTCTAGTGTTATTAAATATTCAAGCATCTTCACTTAAAGCATTTAAAACATGTTAACATGTCCTATTGTTTTTTTGGGTAAGGTCTTTTATGTGGGGTTTAAACCAGATGAATAAATATTCTTAATTTTATGTTTCACACATATTAGTACAGAAAACCACTTTTAGCGACGGACTTAATAAAAGCATTTTCTGTGGACATGTTAATGTACACAGAATACTCTATGCATTAAGGGTTTTGCAATGAATATGAGCAAAATCCTAAAGCAATTATGGGTGTGATTGACAATAATTGACTTAACATGTGGAGCTGTAATGACAAGTAGAACATTTCCTGCTGGTTGTAAGAAATTACCACTAATCACAAGACAACATTATCGTTAATCAAAATGTTTCCTGACAAACGAGTTAAAAATGACGTGTTTTCACATTTATGATTATAGATGACTGCAGATCTATCATGAACTTATCACCCACTAATAGCATTTAAATAATTAGCTGGCAAGTGGTTTGATATGAGCCATTTATTCTGAGAGCCTCATCAAACCAAACATTCAGACATTTTTATAAAAAATCTGAGACAAACCTGCAAACACAACAAAGACAGAGGCTCTTTATGCAGCAGGAAGCCAAAATCAAGCCGAAGCAACTCGCTGACCTCGCCTCCTTTCCAACCGCAGGTTCAAAAGAGCCTCGCTTCCACAAACCACATATAGCGAGTTCTGTTTTTTTTGTCTCCCTCCACTTGATATGATTTTTAACTCCACTTCATGGATTTAAAAAAAAAAGAAGACACTCCAAAAATAAAAGCCAAGAAGACAAGTTCAGCAACAAAACAAATCAAAAAGAAGTACAATCATCGCTTCACAGCAGGAAACATTTGTCGGGGTGAAGACAAATGTTTTGTTCCTTTCATTGTTTTTTTCAATCTTGTGTGTTTACATTGATGAAATCTTGAAAAATGTAATTATGCCTGTTTGAGTTATGAAGGAAAACAATGTGACTGCCCTGTGTAGCACAGAGAATATACACACACAAACACACACACACACACACACTTTAAGATATTTGCACATAACCCTTGAATTCCTCATGCTCAATGTGGAGCTTAATACACACTTGCACATGTACACAAATGTTAGACACACACACATTGTTTATATAGGCAACAGCAGTGGGCACACCTCGAGCACTGAGGGGTGGGAGGGAAGAACATTTGACAGCAATTTGACAGGTAGGATGAAGGAAACACTACGTAGGTGTGTGTAAGTACTGTGTGTGTATGTGTGTGTATGTATGTGTGTGTGTGTGTGTGTGTGTGTGTGTGTGTGTGTGTGTGTGTGTGTGAGAGAGAGAGAGAGGAGTAATTGACAAGAGAAGAAGAAGAAGAGGTGAGTATAGGAGATAAAGAAAGATGGATTCCATATTCAACTAACCTACAGTAAGCCATCTCATACCCTCAATTACACACAGTGGGATTTTCTTCTGGTCAAATTTCTTATTAGTTCCCAAATTAGACATTGCCCATGACTCTTCAGTGAGGGTGTCTGCAGTATGTTCACTGTGATTGCCCTCTTGAGGCACAAAGCCCATGACCAGCCCCTATCATACATCCTGTCATGTATCCCAGACTCAGGCGCACCTAACATGGTAATAAGACACTTGTAGTAGCCCGCATCGATGACTTCAGCGCCATATAACTGCTATATAAATCAGCACAAAAACACCAGTTGGTGCTGTCACTTGTGAAAGAAATCCAAGTTTCCCCTGTCAGTTCTCAGAACCACAACCAATATTTACCCCCTTGGTTGATTGACAAGGAAAATGCCAGGCGTGGGCTGGTGATTCAGAGAGGCCAAGTAATGGGACTCTTTCTATGTTGGAGATGTGAGGTGGGCGACTTAATGACTAGGGGAGACGTGGTGGGCGAGATGTCTCCATTGTGCTGCCTGGTCCATGCACACGACGCTGTTGCTTGACTGGCGGAGTGCAGCAGGCTGTTAATTATTCAGACGCTCCCGTCCTCAAAGAGGTGAGTGATTGACAGGACGCCATCTGGTCGTAGTGAGGAAGAGGGCGAGGTTGCCGTCTCTGCGGCTCCACATCTTTGCTGCTAGCGGAGGTTTAATTTATATACAGAACACCTGAACTGAATCATATGTGTAAGGAATCTAACTACTCTTAATTACACACTTAACACTTAACACATCTACCTACCTACCTACCTACCTACCTATCTGAATACATATCTACCTATACCTACCTATACCAACCTACCTATCTATCTAAATACATATCTATACCTATCTACATATACCTATCTACATATACCTATCTATCTATCTATCTTAATTGAAATATGGGCTTACTGTTTGTGCTGTTTAGGGGCAGTGGATGGATAATTATGCCATGGAGGGTTTGTAGTGCCTGCATGTCACAGGTACACACTGAAGGGAGGACCAGCGCACCAAGGCAAGCTTGTCCTTGAAAGCAATAATATTAAGTTGAACCTAAAATGTTAATCTTAACTTAAAAGTATTGCTTTAAACTACAGTTATGTGAAATCTGTTGACATAATACATATAATTAAAGTCAACTTTTCAGTTTTTCTCTATCCATCTATCTATCTATCTATCTATCTATCTATCTATCTATCTATCTATCTATCTATCTATCTATCTATCTATCTATCTATCTATCTATCTATCTATCTATCTATCTATCTATCTTCTATCTATCTATCTATCTATCTATCTATCTATCTATCTATCTATCTATCTATCTATCATCTATATATCAATCAATCTATCCATCCATCCATCTATCTATCTATCTATCTATCTATCTATCTATCTATCTATCTATCTATCTATCAATCAATCTATCCATTCATCTATCCATCTATCTAATGAACACTAATCTTGATCTAAACCTTCTGCAACTGTCATGCGACTTTAATTAACAAATCTGAACCGGACGTGTGCTCATGCTCACTGTTGTGGAGACTATCCGTGTCTCAATCCTGTCTAGCTTGCTGTATACTAATGCACTCATTGGCTGGGGTAATGGAAAAGTACTGGGCCCTAATAGACTTGCAACATGGACTTTGCCCATGAGACCCGAATGAGCCTGTAGATAGTTGGTAAACAATGGATAATTAGGATAATATATGGGAATTAGGCGTGCTTTGCTGTAAAGGACGTGAGCAGGGGATTGAGAGCAACGATAATCGTCATATATAATTATCACTGTGTATATAGCTTATTTGTATACTGACTCTGGTGCTGAAACATTTTGCCATTTGTCACAAAATTATAATCTGTTACATATACATCATAATTTCTTTCTATTGTATATTGCGCTGACGCAACTTCTTTATAACAACAAACCAGCCTCTTGATACAGAATGCTGACTGAAATGCAAGCAAATCTGTCATAAACTGAAATGTTACCTTACAGGACACACTCAATTGCACAGAGTGTGACAGCCCAGGGACCATGTTCGGTTAACACGATATTATGTAGCGAAAAGACAAAAAATACCAGCCTGGATTGACTTGAATAGAATAACAAATGATTAATTCTTCATTCCCTGGATCTGAAGCGTCTGAACTCATATAGTTTACTGAGCTGATATTACAGCTTGCCCAAATAGTTTTAGAGCAGGGTTTGAAATCGATGCGCAATTAGGAGTGTCTTGTATCAGGCATGATGAATTATGCTCTCTGTTCTAAGGCTGGTCTATAGACACTTGATCAATTCAGCTTCTGGGGACCTGGTAAAGCAAGCCGGGGAGAAATTGCTCTATTCCAAAGCCATTTGGTCGAATGTATTGATTAACCATTGCATTCAGAATTGAAAGTCGGTCCGGGATCTGTTCTGGGAGGGTGTTGTAGGAAAAGCTACAGCATGAGCCTGCCACATCCTAAATGGAGAAAGCAATACATTGATACCTTCTCTGGGCTTTACTTCTTGCTAATGTAGTCTTTGCTTCGGCAATGATGTGTTGAGAAAAGGCTCGGTGCTTTCAAACTGTTCAATGTATTTCAAAGTATTTGACTAACCCTGTTAAAATAAAATACATCTCTTAACACTGCACAGGTTTGTTAAGAAAAACAAAAAGTGCCATTCAATAACAACTAAATAAATTCAACTCCTTTTCCACCCATGTAAACCCATGAAATAAATCTCTGCATGAACAACAGTATGGCTGCCACACAATGCTGTATGTTAAAGTGGCACGACTGTATGTGCTAGTTTCGCAAGCTCTAAACAACAGCCTCGTGGCACCTTATTAACAAAGTAAACAGATCATAACCTTCAGCTGCAGAAGCCAATCAACACTTTCTCATCAGGGCGCGCCAAATGTAATTAGGGGCCGAGCAAACGTCTTGTTTATATCACCGTAAACTCATTGAACCCCAGTTGGGTTATTATTTATACACTTGAAGTAGGCCAGACTGTGTTTGCGATCAAGGCTATGTTAATGCTATTCATTACATAGCGCAACCATAAATAGTGTGTGGTACACCATCCCCTGGGAGGGACCACAGTGCCCAAGTTTGGAAATGCAATATGAGCGCCTGCCTGTCTCCCTTCTCTAACTAGAGGGTTCACAGTCATCCCATCTCCCCCTGGCTCTCAGCTTTTGTTGTATTGTCAGGGTATCCTCCCACAGGCCCGTTGTGCAGGGTGCTCTCTCAACAGCATCCTCTTCTACCCTCAAATTGAGCACCCAGGGGATCTGCTGCCTCCTTGTATACACTCTCTCCAGTCCTCCTCACCAGCGTGATTCATCACACACCATGACTCATGATGTTCTTTTGCTGTTTGTGTGTACAAATGCCCACATTCGGTTTGTAATCACTCATATTGCCTGTATCACCATCCATCTGGACCATTCAACCATGAACACAACATACAATGTTTGCTTGTTTCTTTTTTTTCAAAATCCACCCATACACGAACATTGACGTGCTTTTTTCAAACCCACATGGAGAAACATGACAGAATGTTTTTTTTTGTCCGTATTCATTTTGACATTTTCTTCAATTTTTTGTTATTTTTCTTCATCAAGGACAGATGATGTACATAGAGATGTTATATGCCACCGACAGACCCAGTGGGATGCTGACATGGAACAGTATCAATGACTGAGATATTGAGGCTAACAAAGTGACTGAGATAGAAACAAAGAAGCATTGACCAAACAATCTGCTCTTGTGCTTGAAATGGAATCCATCATTATTTTTGGAGCAACAAGATGCATGCACAAACAGTGTGTTCTGTCACAGAGACAACCCGAATACATCGCAGAGGGTAAGACTTTTTTGAGTACAACATGTATTGTTTTAGATTAAGGGCCATTTAAACTGAGCTTCACAATCATTTCAGAGTACTGTACACAGTAAAGTACAACAATAGATCTATTTGATATACCTTGTTAATGTGATTTTTTTCAGATATTACACCACAACTTTACCCATATCTGATACCTCTTGCACAGTAGAGTTAGGGGTTATTGCTGGTTTGAAACAAAATCAAACAAAACACATTCAGACAATTGATTCAATACAGAGTAATTTCCCTTTAAGGTCGCAGGGTTCAGCCGGGGGAAACTCGTCTCTCCGTGCAGGCTCGTTATGGCATATTTGCATATAGTCGCTGCATGTGAGTGGAACAGTGTTTCAGTGGAGAGTCGAGTGCCACAGTATTGAAATATGGGCTTACCTCCCACTGTTTGTGCTGTGCGGGGGCAGTGGATGGATAATTGTGCCATGGAGGGTTTGTAGTGCCCATGTCTGCATGTCACAGGTACACACTGAAGGGAGGACCGGCGCACCACGGCGAGCTTGTCCTTGAAGAGGATTCCTGTCAGTGGCAGGATTGAGCTTGATTTATGGGGGCCATCACTGGCTGGCAGAAGGGACAGGTGGAGCCCAGGCTCCTTCACTTAGCCAGCCACAGGTAATGGCTAATTACATCTTTATCTCCCTGCAGTCTGGCCAAACACGAACCGACTTACAGTACAGCCACGACCAGAGCCTGACATGGATCCAAATCATTTATCTAGCTGGTCGGAGACAGACAAACTATGATAAGTGGACAAATATGCAGTAGGTGTGTGTGTGGGTGATGCAGTTAACAGCATGACAAAAAAAGAGTCCAATACATAAACTGTTACAAATTATAAATTACATCATCATTCACTGCTTCTGGACTTGATGAAATAATCCTTCAGACTGTTTCAAATGCGTTTTTAAAAAGCTTGTCATGGCAAAATAGAGCACATCACTTCAAAAACTTTACATGTCTTTTTTTTGTTTGTTTTTTCTTGTAGTCGTTCAATGTGTGTGATTTCTCAAAGTACAAAAATTATGTTTCCCACGCACGGCTCATTACCATCAGATTTTGTTCTTTTTTTTTCTCACATGGAATTACTATTCATAGTTATTCAAATACTTATTAACATCATCATCATCTGTACTATTATTAACACCAAAAAAGTAAAAGCAGGTAACTTTGCAGAGTAAACAGACACAGTGCAGGGAGGGAGGGAGTGAATGGAGTCACAACAGGAACATCTCTAACCGGTACATGCTATCAACAAGCGACAAAGAGGATGGAGTCGCAGCTTTGAAACAGAAGATATAGTTGTCACTTGACAGTCTCTTGCTGCTTCAGAAAACTGGAGCGTAGTCGAGGCTGATGGGAGATGTCGTTCGGCACCAGGCAACTTGAGGTCGCCGGCGCGGCCTCTGTACTGCATATATTTACACTGGGGAGGGAGACTGGGGGAGGAAGGGGGTGACACAGAGCAGGAAACACTATAGCGATGCATGGGGGACTAGACAGAGCACATTGAACAGAGGGGCGGGGGGTAACGGGTCTAAAAAGGTTTGGGTAGTAAGGGGGTCTACATGCGAAACCTTGGTATAAACCCCCCGAATTACATAAAGGGGAAGTTAAGACTGACACCTTCACCGCCCACCCTTTTTTTTTAAATACATTTGACATCATTCATAGCAGATTCACTGCTACACGGTTAAAAGTAAAAAGCCATACGTGTGTGTGTGTGCGTGTAGATGTGTGTGATCACAGGGTGACACTTCACATAGCCACCAACTGGACAATTTTTCAAAAGGTCACATGACCGTCAGTACTACATTATAACTACAATTTCCATAAATATCCACCATAGTATTGAGATGTTATGTACTGTTCCCATAAGGCAAACATTGTAGGTCAGTCATTAGTCTATGTAGTATATTACATCAATGATCGTCCAGTTGTTAGATTATCTATTTTCTCATTGATCACAGACACAATAATCGTTAATATACACTCTCTTATCAACATCAGCCCACTGGTAATAATGAAGGGATAGCTCGGTAAGGAGGGGGTACCAAGTCAGACAAATCTGCAAGGCATTCTGGGAGACAAAAAGAGAGAGACAGACTGTGTGTGAGAAAGAGAGGAAGATATGATTACAGTGGTTTGACCTCAAAATTGAATTGAGGGTGTGGGGGGTGGGGGGGGGGGAGCTTAATGGGGTTGCGTTTGATGCAATGATTCAATGGCTCCTGGAATAATGCATATTCTTTTTGTTCACAGTGATGGGTTCGTAATTAAAGAATTTCATTTCTTTCTTCCATCCGTAGAGGGGGAGAGAGGGAGGAAGAGGGGGAAGGGGGCTTTAAGGGACATTTAGGGGCACTTCCAGGTGGAGCTCCATCTTTACACCTTCAGCAGAAGAACAGCAGAGAGGGAAAGCCAAACAGACACGCCGACACTCATCCCTGCATGTAGACCGACTCCTCGCCCCTTAATGGCCCCCGGTCCTGCACGAAAAAGTACCAAAAGAAGGGAGAATATGTGTGTAAAGGCAACCGAACAACAAATATTTGCCAGTGAGGGATATGGTGTGAAGCTTTTCCAGATGCGTGGTGTTGACAGCAAATCAGGTCTTCTCTTTGAGTGCATTTAAGATGTTTATTTGGATTGCAGGATGATGACAGCAAAACAAGAGCCGGGTGTTTAACTGATAACTAAACAACTAACTGTGATAAAGAAATAAACCGAAATTAACTCAAAACAAACAGAAAATAAGCGAAAACACGCACGGTTGAAAAACTGTGTGGCTTCGATCTGGTGATTCCCAATCCCTAATGCTGTGCACCTGTGTCCTCCCCAAATAGTAGGCTGTACCCTGAAATTGGCTGAGTCCCCGCCTATGCCCAGGTCAATTCAGTAGTATCACAGCACCTTCATATACAAATATTAAAATACATCAAATTGGCTGCAACAATGTGTATATGTAAAAGAACAAAGACAATTGTACAGTAGGTGTGTAGTTGTGGTAGTAGTAGAAGCAGTAATAGTAGTATTAGTAGCATTATTATTATGGGTTATTATTTAAATAAGTGCAAGAAACTCATTCTGATAACTCGGCAAACCTAGGCCTGTGTATTACATCTGTGATATGGTGTAGAACATTTCTCATATTCCAATAGCTTAACACTCATTAGTCTCATGTAGGGTTATCAGAAAGGCAAACAGCTGATCATGCATGCACAGTACAAGCACACAGCCATTATTAATGTTATTAGTTACACGTATTTGTCACGTCTAAATGACCACTGTGAGAGAGGTCTATTGAATTCCCTGATTTAGTAACATATTAATATCACATTTCAAAGCCATGACATGCTGGGGTTTACACGTTAAAGGCTTTCAGAGCTGACATTTTGACGTGTCAAACACAGGTGAAATTATTGACTTTAATAATGGCTGGGCCAGAAAGGCACAGAGCCTGCATTCATAGTAGAGGTACACAGTCTTTATTAATGTGATTAGTTTCACCTATTTGTTACGTCTAAATTGACACTGGGAGAAAGGCCTATTGAATTTCTTAATTTAGTCACATGGTTTATCTCAAATAACAAAGTGATGAGAAGCTTGAGTTAACATGTTCAGGGTTTACATTTTGACTTGTCTAACACAGGTAAAACTAATAACATTTATTATGGCTCTGATTTGATTTATGTGTGCCAGAAATCTAATCCAGTCAGCCAGAAAACACATTATGAGCACTCTGGCACTGAGACACTTCAATAAAATACAACCCTTATTAATTTCATTAGCTACACCTGTGTCTGACAAAGTATCCGCAGTGAGAAGGGTCTATTGAGTTAAATAATTCAGTATGTTGCCATGGCGCATCTTAAATTAAAAAGCCATTAAATTCCGATAATGGCTCTCTGGAAAGCAAAACAAAAGGCAACATTATTCAAGTAAAACCTCAACAAATTGTGTGAGACGCAGAAAAATTACATAATAATTTTAGAGACAAATGTAAAAACACCTCTTCCTCTTTTGGGCCATTGGCAATCTAGTATATTTCCAAATTGTAATGTAATAATGTACAGTAAAAATGTATACTTAGAGCTAGTACAGGCTGCCAATGGTCTCATTAATGGGATCATTTGTTTAGGGTAATTACAATAATGTGCCAATTTTGATGTGATAGTGGGCTGTTGATATGAAAGTGCTACATGAGGTACCTTTTAAAATAGTGAACCAAGAGGTACAAAAGGATAAAAAAAAAGTGACAATGACAGTGAGGGACAGTGTATGAATAGAAATGCCACATAAGTATCTGATTATGCTCCGATTTCCCATGCCTGGACCATAACAGAGAGGGGTTTGTTGTGTTCTAATGATGGCAGGAGGAGATTAGGGAGGAAAGAGGAGGCAGAAGGACAGATGATGGAGAGATAGTCTGACAGAAGTGGCAGCGGTGGTTGAAAAAGAGAGCAGGAAGATATATGGGTCTGACGAGGGAGTGAGTCATTGAAGAGAGACTGGCCGAGATAATGGGTAAAGGAATGAAAGAAGAAAGGGGATAGATGAAGGACTCACTTAAGATGGTAATGCTGAATGCACTAAAGGGAGGTGTGGGTGTGGAGGGGGGTAAAGGGAAATCGCTCATTGGGGACGGTTAATGTGAATTGGGCTTGGAGAGAAATGACAACTTCTTGGGTAACAGGACAGATCCGAGCGAGTGTGTGTGCATGCAGGAATGTGTACGGACGAGAGATGGAGGGTGAGAGCGGGAACGAACTAAAGAGAGAGAGGGAGACTGTAATGTAGGCAAGCAGAGCTTTAATGGGGCGGAGAATAACGAAAATGGGGAGGAAGGAGGGAGGAGACGGCTGAGAAAATGCTGTGCAGAGTCAAAATGAGACAGGGCGCAGAGGGAAAAACAGTGTGTCATTGCATATGTACCATTTTGTGGGAGTATGTCACATGTGATAAATGTGAGCGTTCTAATGTTATTGCTATTTGAAAACTTACGAAAAAGCAGCATGCTGGCGTTGGAGGCCCCAAGACGGTTCGAAGCAAAGCAGGTGTAGTTGCCAAAGTGTTTCTCTGTCACATTGGTGAACAGCAACAGCGAGCGCGTCTTCTCGTTTTTGATCCTCAAGGTGTTGTCACTCTCTAGCGGCCTGGGTGGTAGAGGTGGGGGAGCGGAAGCAAAAGAAGGGGGAATAAAAAGGGAAATAACACAAATCACACCTAGTGACTCAGCCCGCATAAGAGGCTTTTTCTACATCTCTCCAGAGCGACCCTGCCACACAGTCCCCCTCCACACTCTAGCTCTGCCTCACCTTGTACTCATAGTGAAATCTCACAGTCCATAAATAACAGAGACCTCCTGCAGGGGCCCATTTTACTCTATTAACAGCTCTCTCTGGCTGACAAAGGCTTGTCTAAGTACTTTTGCATCGTACCTTGGCTGATGCCAAATCATCGTCACTCTTCCTACGCTCTCTGGGACCTTTTATAAACTCGGATGGAGAGATTATGTGTGGGTGATAGAGAGCAAATAGTTTTCCAGCCGGCTAATATTTCTTCAGTGATGGCAAAAACCATGCATGATTATCTCCGACCTATACAAATGTCAGAGGTTAGGTAAAAGGACAGCAGCCATGGTAGGATGTCTGAAGGGAAAAAATAAGTTTTGCAAAGATTTGATGTCGCGGCCAAGTTTAATGAGTTTCCGCCAGTTAAATGTCTGTTCTGTTCCCTCCTTTTCTCTCTTATCACTGAACTCACAGTTTAACAGTTCTCATTAACATATTTTCTTTTGTTTTGGCAGGCAACTGATTGGTGCAACACAATGATTTGATTGAGGCTCATAAAAGCTACATATTAACCAGACACTCCTGTGCTGCTGCACTGATACATTGTCCAATCAACGTCACAAAAACATAAAGGTTAATGACAACACGGATATGATCAGCTTTTTTGACATTTAAAATGAGTATTCACAGAGTGAAAGAGGGCAAAACTAGTCTTCTTAACTTACAGCCCCCACACTGTGTCTGAGCAGAACTATCATCATTTCAGAAGATACGTTTTAAACATCAAAACTAAAATTGAAGGCTGGCATTGGATGGATTTTGGACTCTGTGGAGACTTCATTTTGTGTGTAAAGTTCACCTTGGTAAGGACCATAGACGATGGAGAGAAAACATGTATTGTCTCACCTGTGGTCGTCTCTGTACCACTCGAAGGCGGCTGGTGGGACTGCCATGGCTTCGCAGCGCAAGATGGTCGTTTTACCCAAATGGACTGGCATGTTTTTCATGTCTGTGATCATGGGAGGGTCTGGCAGGAAACGCGAGGGAGAAAACAATGGAGAAACAGAAGGAGGGAGGCAGCAATTAGTATACATCTGCCTTCACCGGGAAGTCAAGTCGGGCCAGCACAGGGTTGCAAACAAGGTTGATAATCCCCCGGTGAGAGCAACATTAAGATGTATAAGCTCATACATAATAATGAAACTAACATATTAACATATATTATGACTACATCATTGTGCTATTACACAGCAGGTCCAGTGTGACTTGAATTATCACCACTGGGATGCTGTGAGGCGCAGAGAGGGATACTTACAGTTGACCGTGACCTTGACCTTGCGCTGATCGGGTGGAGACACTCCATTGTTGGTGATGCATTCGTAGTCCTCGGCCTGCTCCCTCTTGATCTCTGTGATGTCCAGGAACTCCCCGTCACTCACCAGCCCATCTATGGACATAACGCAGATGTCAAGGTGATTCCGGGTACTGATTTAGGGTTGACCACTTGAGATACTGCGGCGGGGGGGACTGACAAAACTATAGCTCAGATGGTTTTAAGACCATGGGGGAGGCACCAATACATATCAGATAACAATATAATCTATATTTAGATGTACATTTTCCAATATTGACATACCAGTATATCACATATACAATGTGATATACTGGAAATCGATATCCTGATATACATTAGCAAATGATGTATCACAAGGCAAGTATACATCTAAAATATAAAAATCCATGTTTGACCTCATGAACTGAATAATGTCTTCTCACTTTGTTAACTTGTAATTACAATGGGTTGATTGGAATCATTATTCATCATTTGGACCACCCACACAACAACATGAAATTAATAATAAACATATTTGTGTCAATATGTTGTAAGTAAATATGATATGACAGAACTGACACAATTTTCTTGTATAGTGTCAGGGGAGATTGTAAGTATTTCTTCCAGGCAGTGGACACAACAGGGATGACCCGTTCACTACATTACATATTGAGAATAATATTTGGCTGTTATTTGATGTTGACAAAGTCCCAGGTGCCCCAAAACCAAATTAGTCAGTCTAGCATTTTCAGTTTTTTTTCCTCGGGGCGACAAACAGCCACAACATCTCTTCAGAGGGGAGAGTCAAAGAGACAGGATACGAGTTATTGCTCCTTCATGTGAGGGAATTGATGTTGGGGTGTTATTGAATCGGCGGCAGCAGCAGAGAGAAGAGGAATGAGAGTGAGGGTGCACCCCCCCTACTCCCTGCAAACCAGCTGTCTCACAGCCTCCGAAACCATTAGGTCTTTTTTCTCCCCTTTACCCCATTAAAAAAGTCAGACTGCGGAACACGACATCATACATAATCTCACTACTAACAAGGAGATTCAGCTCTTAAATTGCGGCTCACTTTCCCCTTTCAAAGCCCACTAAACATACACACAACCACCGTCAGTCAGTGGACCTTTACTTCCCCTCACAAACACAAACAAATTCCCTGAGCACGTTTGTGAGCAACACCGACGCAAACACACAAAAAAGACGCTAAACGCCATGATTATTCCTGTCAGAGATTAGCGCGGCGGTTCTAATTGGAGATTATAGTGGAGGATTATTAGTGTGGCTACTGAGCTGGAAACGAGTATTTGCAGCTGCTACGGCAGCGGCTGAGCAGCGAGCGTCAACGTCTGCTCCTGCCACCCGAGAAAGTGCAGGGCACTGGGCGATGAGGTGGGGTGGGTGCAATGTTATTCATTCATTCCATTAGTTTAATAAATATAGCTCTCGTGTGACGTCTCTGTCAAGTAAACAGAGCAGCCAACTTCGCCAGAGCTGAGGCGGTATGCAGGGGGGAAAGGTGGGGGAAAAGTGGAGAAATAGATCGAATCAGACAACTAGCACTGGAGAACACACAGGCCTGTTACAGATGACTTCCAAGAAATAAAAAAATTAAAATTTAAAAAAATGAGAGCAATCGAGCGCTAGAGAGCGCATTACAGATACACAGAGAGTGGTAATTTGCAAGAGATGTCGAGCAAGACAGTCAGACAGATACACAGATATAAAGATAGAGGAGAAAAACAGCAACATGAAGAGGGAAACAGAGAGATGCCAAGCTGGGTTTTGATGTGGATGGTTCCTTCATGGACTTGTAATCCTCAGCACCATGTGTGATGTAATATGTCTCTATGATAGAGATCTACTGGCTAGTATATTATTCTCTCTATGCTCTCTCTCTACTCTCTCTCCTCTCGTTCTCACTGCTCTCTTCGCATCTCTCTCTCTACTCCTCTCTATACTCTTCTCTCCTCTATACTCTCCTATCTATCTCTCTCTCTCTCTCTCTCTATCTCTCTCTCTCCCTCTCTCCTCTCCTCTCTCTCTCCCTCTCTCTCTCTCTCTCTCTCTCTCTCTCTCTCTTTCTCTCCCCTGAGATCTCTAGACAGGCATGGCACACCTTTTCTCCACTTTGGTGGGAGATCATATCTGACTGGAGTCGGCCTAGCACCCTTGCAATGGTCTGTAAAATACATCTCCATCAACCACTTATGGCTTTTGAAGTAGCCTGACTCCTGACCACCAGAGATAGTTGGATTGCACCTGAGAAGAGAGGGGGGCGACATGAATGAGAGGAAGGGAAAAAAGGATCATGGGTTCAGCTCTATTTCCACAGCAGCACTTTGAGCCTCAATAGATCATCAGTGCACTTGATTTCTCGGCTCCTCTTATCCATTTCCATTACAAAAACTACCATCCAGACAGAGAGGTCTGTTGGGTTGAAACAGAGATGGATGGGTGTCCTTAGAATCTGTAAAATCTGTCCTTCAGATGAGGAAAATGCTGAAATGGTGTGTTACTTATGTAAACCAGAAAAGCCACCTGCCAAAATTAAGTCCATAGCTTTCAGTTTTCTCAGATGGGTTATCTTACATTTTTTAAACAATTACATTTGTTTTGTTTTTATTAATGCCTGACCAAGAAGGAATTTACCGGTAGACAAATGATTGCTGACGTCTTGTCCTCTCCAAAACAAAAACATTGACTGAAGCTGCTTCATGTTATACATTTGTGTTTTTCCATTGCAGTTCGGTGAACATGAGTGAAGGTGCTGCAGCTTGTTTCTCTGATAACTGGAGATCCAGATGTTTCGGATGAGCAAGAGCGTAATTATCTGCAGAGGTCTTCTCCTCTCCAAAGCGATTAGCTTTTTTCTTTGATAACTGAAGTGTTGAGCAAGGAAGCAAAACATACTTTTCTGGCTTTCTTTATGCTCACAAATTGACCAACATATTAGAGCAATGTAATTAAGCACAAGAATATTTTGTGGTGAATTTATTTTTTCATTTTAATGTCAGCAGGAGTGGATAAATAAACTTGTGAGAACTTTCTGGCAACGCTTTCCTACCATTTCCAATCTTCAGATTTCCACACTCAAGCTGCGCACCTGCAATGCATTCTCTCATCAAGCCACACCTGTCCCTCATCCAGTCCACTTATTATATAAAACCACACACACACACACACACACACACACACTGATTTTTTAATCATCTCTATTTTGGATTTGCTTGGCTCTGGTGACTGCTTAGCTTTTGCCAAACTCTACCTTCCTTTTTCAATTCTACTTTTGTCGATGATTCAAGCTTGTGGATGGATGCACACAAACACCCACATCCTTTAACAGCCTCATTGTCAAAGGCATATACTTCTTTATGCTTATCATAATCAAGTTGTTAGTGAAAGTGCATTCCTCCTACTCGTCTCACCACCACAAGCATCCATCCATGCTAAGCTTGTGTGCCCGTGTGTTTTAACAGATGGGACATCAAATGATGGGGCCCTTATTCACTGGTGTATTCAACTAAATAAGACACAACTGTATGTTTTTGAGTCTGTCAATTGATGGATGCCAGTGACAGTGAATGGGTGCAACAGATAGTATCTGATCTCTGTTAAAATGAGGAAGAAGGCAGTGCCTGCAGACCTCAGTGCAGAGAAGTGAAACTATCTGTATGTTGCTCTGGTAACTGTGGACAAGTTGCAAAGGGTTTAAAAGCTCTAATAAGGTCTCTGTCTCGCCTCAAAGGGGTTGCTCTTCCTCTTACCTCACCACCACCAGATTCTCCACCCAACCTCAACATACACTGTTCTCCTCAACCCCCCCCCCACGCTGCAGCTTCTCTATGCAGTCTCTGAGTAATGGGGACAGATGGCTGGCAGCTTCGTGCTGTTTCTTTGGGCTAGTTCTCCCCCTCTTTCTCCTCCGCCCCTGGTCTCCTGCAACTGATGGCTTGGTTGCACAGACTCCCACGGAATAGCAATGCATCCCCTATCTCTTTCCCTGCAAGCTGTGGGGCTATTATGGGAGAGAGGGAGGAGACGGGAGAGGCGGTTTGAGATGGTGGGGGTGGCTTGAGAGGGAAGATTACTGCTGACAGAGGAGAAATGCTGTAGATGAGAACAGCCGCGCAGAGTTTGTGATGTAAGGTTGTGGGTGTGCTGCAGGTGTGTGCTTGTGCATGCTTTACTTTTCTACTTCATGTATTTTTGGGTGTCAGTGATCACTACGGGCTTGTCCCTGCCTAAGGTACTGTGTAGGTTCACAAACACTGTACTGTGCAGAGAAGGACATTGCACACACAGCAGGCTATTTCAGGGACAGACCAGGGAGAGCGGAGGAGGAACAGACCTCTGAGCAAGCCCAAAGCTATCAGTAAGTACAGCAGTACAGTATTGGTTGCGCATTTATTCGCCCAACAATAATCACAGCTTGTTGACAAGATGTTCACATTGACCTATTTATTATTGCTGTCTCGGTGCTGCATTTGATCTGTACTTCTGCCGCTGTAGTCAGGCTGCAACTCAGGCAATACTGTTGTGAGGTAGAAATGCTTCAATCGTGACTTTTGTGACATCGATGCAACATCCTCCTAACAAAGTGTTCATTATTTGATTTTCAGAACACGAAAAAGTCTTAAATAACCCTTGTTTTCTTATAAATCTCTCATCTGCCTTGTTCAAAAGTTCAATCTAAGATATTTTGGACTTTTCTCCACACACATGGCCATATTTCACAGAGCAAATACAGATTAGTTCATATTTCAACAAAGAGGTCATGGAGCTCATGCAATATGCAATGTATTCCTGTTTATTTAAACTAAACTGAATAGCAAACATTAAATTGTAAAAGCCTCCAAAGTCTAAAGAGATGAGCAAGTAAAACACAGGAATATTGAGTAGGGCTTAACGATTAATCGATTTGAAATCGAAATCGCGATTTGAAATGATGCGATTATCAAATCTTTAAAACAAAAAAAAATGTTCTTCTTGTGGGTCAGTCATCCGCACCAATCAGAAGTGCTGTGCTCCACATGTACCAGCCATTGTTAATCAATCAGAAGTGGCCCATGATAGAAGGTGATAGAAAGATTGATCCAGTCACCTGCCAAGTATTTTTGAAATACTTTTCCAAATGGCTTCCAATGGAGCTTTAGATGGTTTGGTGAAACAAACCATCTGAGTCAGGTTAGTAATGCTCCATCACATGTTCTATTACAGGGTGAACCTTAAACTGAAGCTTGACTTTAAAGCAACCCAACAGAAGTTTCATGTAAGTTTAGTTCTTTCACTCGTAGCTCGGGCTGCGGGGCTGCTAAAGACGGGAGCACGTTGATATGACCTTCCTAGCCGGAGATATATTTACAATAAACTTCCGTTGGGTCGCTTAAAAACAAATATCGCAAATCTAATCGCAATATTTGTCAGAAAAATCGCAATTAGATGTTTTCCCCCTAAATTGTGCAGCCCTAATATTGAGTCATGGATTAATGTTATATTCAGTACATGGACAATGTCTTTATGTGCCAAACAGTTCACACAGCACTGCCATTACATTTAATAACAACATGTCATCTCTACTGGCACTGTAATGCTTATTTTCCCTACTTTGGACGTAAGTGGTGACAAAGATGGGAACAAATATAAAATAAATGCAGTGCTGATCAAATCAAATGGATTGTACTTAATCCGTCAGCCTGACAACTCTCAACTCATTATGATTCCCCAAAATGATGGAAGCTAAAAATAGAAGACTTAAGGGGCTGTTAGCGTAGGTTGGTTGGCTTCATGATGCCGGTTGACAGGGTGGATGAAGACAGATGCTGATGATTACAGGTGGCGCGGTGGGGATAATTAGGTATAATGTGTGGTTATTTGGGACAAAACATTGGGACATTGGGAAAATGCGGAGAGTATAAATTTAGGACAGACTAAACAGCTGGGTTTAAGAGTTATGGCACAGGTATGTGGGATAAAGATGTGGATATGAGCTGAATGCTGATAAGCCTTTAGGAAGAAAAACAGGGGTACAAAAATAAAAGAGCTAAGGCAGACCCGGGGTAGGGATGAATGTGAAGGCATGGAGATAAAGGTGAAGCTGTAAACAAGAGATCTCTGGATGTGAAGACAAGCAAACAGGAAGGGGTAGCTTACATTTCTGGTCTTTCCAGGTGACGGTGGGCTCAGGCCGACCCACCGCCAGACAGAAGAGGTTTACATTCTCTCCCTCGTTCACAGACACGTTTTTCGAGATGTTGACGATTCTGGCGGGCACTGAAAAACAAGATCATGCTATTAAAATATGACCTCAAAATCCCCTCTCATTTCATACATTATTGATGAGATATGCCCTTACAGCCTATTAAGGTGTTTAAAGTATAATGCAAATCCCTGCACCTAAGACAGAGAGGCAATCAGCTGATTAATGATCTGTGCCTGAGTGCTTACTGAACTGTGCAACAATATGCTTGTCCGTCTACTTATGATGCACTGCATTGTAATTTGCTGCAAAGGGCAATAAAATCTCCTTCTCCTGACATCTAATCAGATCTGATCTTTAAAGAAAAAAAAGAAAATGTGTAGAACTGATAGTGTGAATTTTTACTTTGAAGTCGAATGGCCACTTTGCCCCAAACCCACAAAGTGTTGGAGTGCTATGCATGTAGTTAGTTTGATAACAAGATGGCCCTTGAATTTAAATGTCCCATTATCATTTATTTTAATGAGCTTGGCCCTGAGATTGCTTTTTGTTTTGCAAGGCATCTACCGAGGATCCTATTTTTCTTTATCTTACTAGAGTTGAATACTTGCAGCGATAAAGCACAGACTGGAGTGGCGTTGAAGCTGCTCCTGCTTGATGCACTGACTTCAGGGTGTAATTATTTTGTGAGATACCAAGCTAGGGCTGGAACTGCAGGCGACTTGGAATTAGGTATATGGTCATCTGTGCCAAGCTTTGCACCCTGCAGACATGACTGTTTGTTTGGCTGCAGTGCAATGTGAAAACTCTGTTAGTAATCAGCTGACATTGTTTCCGCCACATGTAAGCTGTGAGCCAGCTCTTGTGTTTTCATTCCAACAGAACACAGCCTAATATATCCAGTTAAAAGTTTGATTCTCCTGGTGATGTATTCGTACAATTTGCCCAACCCACAGTCGAAAAATATGCATGCAAATTGACACATGCAGGAGGAAAAGGTCTGAGATCCATCCTCTGGGCAGGTCTGCGCCCCTACATCATGTCACTCAGGATCAGCCAGACTCTCACTCACTTAGCTGCTGACTTGATGACTGAGCCTCAGTCGCAGTCCTGAATTGTCTGTTATTTAGTCAGGCACTTGGACAACCCCCCTGTGTATCTCATCTCCATCACACACATCTTCATCTATCTGCATATCTTTCTGTTTATACAGACAAATAACCCTAACTGGCTACATGGAAATAATGGAAATGTGATTTGTCACCTGCACTAGACTGGCTGTGCTGTAGCCAGTGGCGGTTTGAGACCACTTTTACTGGGGCCAGTTATTTGAGGAGAGGGGCACATTTATTGCGGTACAAATTAAACATTTTTTGTTCAGTTTAAAGTCATTTTGCCCCAACAAATCCCAAAAATGTGTTTGTTACAGAATTTGTGTCAACCATTTTAAAAATGTAATTACAATTTGTTGGCCCCCCCTAGAACCGCCAATGGCTGTAGCCTCACAAGCATTGGCTTTCAGACTGAATCATATACTTGCCGTTTGATATAACTATAAATACCAACCATAGATACTCAAACATCATAAAAGCAGTAACTACTAAGTTTCCTATCATACATTTAGACATGATTTACCAGACAAGGAACTTTGAAATGTAACCATAGGAAATCTTAATTGCTTCCCCTGAAGTCAAACCTCAATCATATCCAATAGACAGCACTGCTCATATGAATTACCAATTAAGCCATTCAGCTTTTGTCAAAGGCTGCTTACACTAACATCGGTGCACACATATATTATTTAGCAGTTGCCTTGGCAATCAAATCTGCAGACTCTGGATCGTTTTTGGAAAGGAGCTAGCAGTTGGAAACATTTATTACAAATTCCTGTTTGGTCTCCACTCAGCTGCTCACCTTGGACGATGAGGTAGACATGGGCGATGCGGGGCTTGTTATTGGCCTGGAAGGTGCATGTGTAAGGCCCCTCGTCGGATATTTGCACGTTGTCGATGTGGATGGAGAAGTCACTGTTGTTGCTGTTGGCCAGCGTCACACGCTTGTCCAGTGACCACTTGTCTGTCCCCGTGAACAGGATGTTGGAGCGGTTCAGCCAGGCCTTGTGGGTCACCTCCTCGTCGATCCGACATCTGTGAGGGGACAGGAAGCGATTAACAGGTGAGAGGCCTGCATTACATTATGTGTAGGTTGACCCTAAACAGTGCTGAGGTGTTTTATCATTACATTTATAATAAGTAAACACAAACAAATGAGTGATTTATCAAATTAAAACATTTAATTAGTTATACTATTGCACCCACCATAACGATTTTAAAGCTTCTCAGAAAAGATAACTCATGATACAGAAGTGATGGCGTTTTTATCATGTTGCTGTAGAACCTGTTGTTTTAAAATATCCTATAGGAGTTCAATTATGTGCAAATACAGTGACTGCAAAGGTCATAATATATGATTCACATCTTTTCAACTAATTATACCACTCATGGACCCCTCATGCCCAGTGCTGTATCCAAGCATTTGCATCTGTTATGTCTCTAGAGTAGACTAATAATATTTTTCTGATTTTTCCTCAATTTCTCTGCAGCCAGTTGCTAATGAATATCCATCACCCCTGTTACACAGATGGAGAAAAATGGGTCATATTATAAAAAAATGTGGTTGAGATCAGTTTTACAAAAGTACAGCTTGCAAGCAACGCATTGAAATGGTTGTCCATTATTCTTTTAACAGCTGGGTTACTTTGTCTGTAACATTGTCTGTTTGCTAATGGATGCAGTCCAAGGTACATTCAAGTCCAGAGGTTTGTCCACTGGCCATTAGCCTTAAAGTGGCTGTAAAATTAAATTAGATTAAATGGCAATAAATGGCAAACATTAGTGGAAATAATGAAAGAGTGAATTATGATGTTGGTGATGAAAGTGTATTAGTTAATTACTTTTGTTCTAAAAGATTGTGGCTATTTCCAAACCACAGTCCACAGGTGTGACTTCAGTTCTTGCCTCGGCCACTAGATGTCCTTACCCAGCCTCAACTAGCTGCGAGGACATGCCTCTGTAGTCCTCATGTTTAATTGATAAGACCCAGATAAATATCACGGTTGAGGTAGATCTTAGATCACCTGTCAAGTCACTGACACCACAATGCATAACAGCCACAGTGCAGCACAGCATGGAAGTCCTTTACAAATAGGCAACAAGGCACTGGGCTGACGTTCAGGTGGACACATGACCGGAGGGCAGACCACTTCTAACAGGTTTTGAAATATTGGAAATGAAAAGGGAATATTATTTGATTAAAATTCAGTTTGTTGCCGGTGGGTTTAAATAAAGAGACGATACAGTAAGAAAACCCACCATTAAAAATCATTATATGTGGACCGTCTATTATCTATTTTTAAAATTAATCACTTCTGCACTGATGATGTTGCTATATGACTGCAGGCCAAGAGGAAATGAGAATCATAATAACATCAAATGTCTTAATGGCCCACATCAAAGCCAACACAACAGCATTGTCTCAAGCACAGCGCAAGTATTTTTCCAACTTGGGCGGAAGTGATTTTACTTAAAAATAGAGTTTATTTATAAAGCGCTATAGTCTAATGTTTGTTAGCATTCGGTCGTTCTGTGCAGACCGTCCTTACACAAACAAATGATTACAAAATATGCCGTAACATCTCTACTGAGGGAGCTAGTATGGTAGTGCTTTCTGAATTTAAACTCATAGTACAATTCTTAAGCAGTGGTTCCCAAGGGGACACCCAAACACAAGCCAGAGGGGTTGTGAGATGGTTAACAAAAGCAAAGTAGGAAAACATGTTTCAGCAATAAAAACCAGGTATATTGTTTTTTCTTGTGAGTTACTGAATAATGTTAAAACAAAACGAAATGAAATACAACACACATTCAGAAAATAATAATCATTTGGTGGAACTGGTCCAAACCTGTAGATGTATGCAACTTGTGTAGAAAACCCAGAAGTGGCATATGTTTAGTTTTAACAGTAAAAGGGGGAGGTTTATAGTGACTTGTCTCCGTGCTTTAATGTTCAAAAAGGTCTTTATTTTTCTTTGTGCTACAGCAACTCTTTTCACACTCTGTGGCCGTTTCTCAATGTCGAGTAAACCTGATGCAGAGCCACTATTTCAAGTATACTACGTCATCGAGTGGCGCCGAAGGACTGTTTAAATGCATGTTAAATGCCCAGCATTCGGCGCCACTCGATGACGTAGTATACTTGAAATAGTGGCTCTGCATCATGTATACTCGATATCGAAAAACGGCCTGTCTGAAACCAGAGCCCAGTCTGCTCTGATTGGTTAGCTGCTTGGCTATGTTGTGATTGGTCAACCGAAGAGATGCCCCTTATCCAATCAATTTGTCAAAAGTCATGGGAGATGGCGACCCTGTCTACAGCCAGAAACAAGGTAAAACATGCCAGTAATGTAACATTAATGCACAGCTCTCCTTATACTCAACTGTAAATTGATTTAAGGTGATTTTAGCACCCAGTGTGAAAACACCCAAGTACGTTTTATAGATTTAACATCTCCACAGCATCAATAAAACAGCCTCAGGCTTCACGTCTTGATGACATTATAGATCAGCGTCCTGGTCCTTTGATTTCCAACATGGTGAGAGACATGTTGATGTTAACAATTATTGACAGAGCTCTAGATGGCTTCCTAATAACACATTTGATATAAGTGAAAGGCCCACTCCTCTTTCAAGAGAAAAATGTGACTAAAAGAGGAATTTGTTCAGAAATCTGAAGAGGTGTAGGCTTAAAGGGAATGAAAGTAATGTTGACTTGGAGTTGACTTTTTGAGCTGCTGAATGTACTGCCATGCCAGGTCACATCCAGAGGAAGGGGGAAAGCAAGTTAGCTGTTTTTCCGCTTGGTTGGTAGCCGGGGAAAGCTGTGATTTCTACTTTATCACTCACAGTTAGGCAGGTGAGGTTGGATGCAGATGAGCTCTACCCCCTGTACTGACCTGTGTAATAATATTTTCACATTTAAATAAAAGTTGATTGCAGACAGACAGGATGACTCCAGCAAAAAGTAAAAAGTTATACCATTTTATTTGCAAGGATATAAAAAAAGAGGAAAAGTATGGCACAATGTGGGGTGCTTAATTGAAGCTTTGAGAGAGAAAATTGGTAATTAACAGGTGGCATGACAGGTGGGTGGAAAACACCAACATGGTTTTTTAGGCAATTAGTAGGTGCAGGTGTGGGATTAGGAGTTACCTCAAAGTGACGCTTTCTCCTTCCAACACTGTAATGTTGTCCGGCAGGTGTCCGAATTCTGCTCCGTGCACACTGGACGCTGCCAAGAAAAAAAGAGAAAAGACACCAATGAGCTTCAAATAACGGTAACAGGCGCTGGTGTTCATCAATCTCAGGTCAGGTGCTTGAGAATCGACTGCCTAACCAAATCACGTTGGGTGGAGATGTGCTCTGCATTTTGCTTTCTGAAGGGAAAGTAATAACTATACTAAACAAAAGAGTCACAACGTCTGCACTGACCCCCGTTCTTGAATAATGATTTGGTTTTACCCTGCATTCTGGTGGGATGCACGTTCATTGAACAGCACTGATAATGAGCCAAGGGAAGAGGATTCACGCGGAGCTGCTGGAGCATGAAATGAAGGGACAGCAACGGTAACAGAAGGGATGCTCATCCTGCCCACACACACACACACACACACACACACACACACACACACACACACACACACACACACACACACACACACACACACACACACACACACACACCACACACACACACACACACACACACACACACACACACACACACACACTCAGAGAACAGAGACACATGCTTACCAAAGCACAAACACACACACACACATACTGAGGGCCATTAGTTGGTGAGGAAAAACGAACTTGGCATCTTTGAGATGTGTTTCGGCACTCAGGTGAGAAAAACACTTTAAAACAGTTTGAAGTCTTTTTGTGAACTTGCTTGGGTAGAAAACAAAGATAACCAAAGACCTTATATGCTGGCAGAGAACGTGCCTACTGAGGCAGGCCGCTCTCTAATAAGACACCTGGCTATACCCGTCTAAACTCAACAACACAGCATGACACGTAGTACCTCAGCTTGTGTCTTCCCTCCATCTCCAACAATGTCTTTCTCCCCCTCCCAGTAAAATGACCTCAATATCTCCAATAAGCTTTTGCCGTGGTGTAGCCTTGAGGTTTAATAAATGGTGACTTTATGAAATGAAGCCGGCGCAGTGAGGAGCTTAGAAGCACCTCAAGGTTTGTTAAATAGCCGCACAAAGTCAAAAACATGTTAAGCATGCTGATTGGGAATCCGCAAAGCAACGAGACCCAAAATGACGACAATGCAGCACTAGAGGAAATGTGGGTTTTGAATTAAGAACGGGTCTTTGTGGAATCATGGTTTGATTACAAAGAATAATGAGAAAGGCTTCAGAATAATAATGTGCTTCATGGATTGCTAATCAAAAGGTTTTCAAACTGCATAACAGAAAGTCCGGAGAAGTGCCAACTACACTAAATAATAATTAATCAAAATAAAGACTAATTATGCCTCTTTTTCTGTGTGTTGTTGTGAATGTAGTGTGGTTTGGCTAGTGTGCGTGGCTATGGCACAGTCAATATGGGCTACATGCATGCTTGTGTATTCATATATTCATGTGCGTATGATTGTGTGTGCACCATTGCATGTGTTGCGCATGGTTGGATATAAGCAGTTACAGTACCTAGCCTTCATTTGTGTGTGAATGCGTGTGTTTGTTTACTGACATACCGATGGAGAAGAAGAAAGGAGGACAAACTAATGATGCCTCTAAAGAAAACTGGCCCTGAAAATCTTCAGCTAAAAGCTATAATCGCATTAATGGGTGCTGCTGCTGCCACTGCTGCTGTGCTATCTAGGGCGGCCAAGGATCCCAGAACTGGCTCCAATATTCTCTCCCTCTCTCTGAAAGCCTTAGAGGAGGGGTGTAGCACATTAGCCATTGTGTCCAATGTTTAAAAACTGACACAAGCTTTCGTTTATCTGTGTTTTTTACAACAGAGTAATGTTGCCTATACTGTGCTTGTGCTTTCTGTCTTAAACTCAGACAGTCCTTAGCTCAAGCCCTCAGCTGTTGCCTTTCAAGTGTTCTGTACGCTACACACTAGACTTTATTTAGGTTAATTCAATTCCGTTCCAGGGCTTGGGGCTTGGAGACGGGTGTGACATGCTGTCATAAATACACACTAGCCCACATACGCAATTACAGACACACAAATAGAGAGAAGTCGCTCTCCATCACACAATGTAACCATCGGGACACAAACGCAACCCACACATTTGGATTGAATGAATGATGAATGCGCTGAATGCTTCAAACAATATTGCGAAGGTTACGGACCAGCAGGGAGCAATTCCCATTTCCCTACTCAATTCCCATTTTCACAGCTCGATTGGCACCCCACATTCTAAAACCTGTATCACCCTGCCTCTGCTCACAGACGCTGCACAACGTGATAACCTGGTCGACACATTCAGCACACACTTTCTGTCAAACACACAACACCAATCACAGACGTGCCATGCACACATACTGTATGCAAACACACTCATCGAAGAGCCAAACAAGCAGCGGAGGAGCTTTGTCTGAGTTCATTGTGACAACGATCCCATGTGAGATTGTTTGTGGGATTTACAAATGTGTTGGCATACACAGGGGGAACCGGAATACCTAGCATCCACTGTTTCTGATGTATTCACTGTAACTCTTAGTGACCTCTGTCACTCACTGGATGCTCAGTATGCAGTGTTGCTTGAGTTAGTAGAAAAAGTGAAAATGTTGTACATAATCAACAGCTTGTGTATACCAAACAACAACAGATACATCTGTGTTTTGGAGATGGAAGGCCACCTCAATCTTGAGACAAAAGCTGACCTTTCTTCACCTTGGTAGCTTAGCATTGTATGAATAGCAATTATACTTTATTTTGGCATAAATATCATATTGGAAATCTAGAGCAGACCACGTTGAATATAACCCGAGCTTCCAGGAAAATTGACAAACTTTATATTCAGAAGTAGCTATTAGAATATTTAAGGTTGAAAGCAATACATTCAAATGACAACATAAATAGATCTTTGTAAAATAAACCTTTTACGGTTTAATGATTGCTGTAGCTAATTTTCAAATAAAAAAAGTCTAGAGCCAGCAATACTTAATTTATAAACATACCTTACCTAATCTATTAACGCTGATTTTAGCAACCAGGCTGGAAATCCTGTTGTGAAAATTGGTCAAAGCAATAAACAATTAATATTACATGGAGGAAAATGGCTTATGCCTTCGCCGATAACAGAATGGGCCTCGGAAACATCTCATTAATGGGAGAGTGGGAACGCTGGGTGTAAAAACAACAAAATGCAAACATCATCATCTGGCTGAATGACAACATGTGTCCCAGGACTATTGATGTCATCCCTTTCAGGCAAAACATTCAAATGTTGCAGAACCAAACACAGCAGACATGATCAAAGGGGACAATAATGAGTCCAGAGTGCAACCTGCAGTGTGCTGGTTGCACGGCCAAAACAGAATCATCAGACATCACTTTCAATTCCTGGACTACTTTTGGCTTTATTGATCCCTATCTCAAATCCTGCTTTTTCCATTTTCACTCCCATTGCTCAGCATGCAGGCCGATTAACTGCACCCCCAGGAGGAGTCTCGCCCGTTGACACGTTGGAGGGTGTGCTTGCCAACAGGGAAGCTTTAACCACCGTCTACCTTGCAGACTCTAAATGTGGAAACACAAACACAATGTGAAAGCCAAAAGAAAGCTCTTTGTCTTAACCGCTTTGGCACAGTCCTTTACTAAAACAAAAATGGATTTGTTTGTGTGAGTGAAAACAATCCTGAGTCTGTTTAAAACCACAAGTCAGCCGAGTATGAATAAAGGAATGATGTACAGTATAACGTTATCAAACAGTGTTGGTGGGAAACACTGCAGTGGCCCCTGGTGTTGGTTCAAATGTCCTGCCCACTGTTGTCTACAGCTCATACAGTCTGTCATGGCCACTGGTAGTTCTTGTCCTTGCTATGACCTGTTGATTTGGCACACAACAGGAACCCCCGCGTCCATACATAACCCACATTCACACACAAAGACACACTTGTATTCTGTCCAAATGATCCTGTGAAGCCTTTGTATGCACACAGCAGTGAGCTTTGGGTCTAGATTTGCTGCCATTTTTAAGAGAATAACATTGGACAATCCTGTGGCAGTTACATAAAGGAAAACACTAGACTAGAAGACTATTAATTCACCAATAAGGGTCAATCAGTTCAGCGGTTATAATGAACACCCTACAAAAGGAAGAACCTGTTCTGCTCATCTGTGGATAACGCTTTATCTATTGTTAGCTTATAGGTGGACATTCAAATAATTATTTCCACTGTTTGTCTCCCAGCTCTCCTGCAATGTGTCTTTGGAGCGTTGCAAGGCTGCTTGTTCAGTACCCATGACACATCTATTATGTGATTTGTATTCTCTTGACTTTTACATGCGCCTGTTTGTAATTGCACTTGCTACTGGCAGACACTTATGAGCAGAGCTCTGTTGAGTTGTGAGACTTTAGCCTGCATAGTCTTTACAAGGCTGTCTTTGAACAGTTCATCTGTTCGCATTGCCCTTGACGATCAAATAAACAGAGAAAGGAGGCAAAGCTACATTTGAAAGCATTACTGGCGTCAAGACGGATAACAGCGGCGGCTGTAATGAAACACATAACAATAATCCATTTTAAGGGAGGCTGCCATGGTTTTGAAATTGAAAAGAGCAGAGAGGCACAGCACACGGTTGGAAGACAGAGGTGAAATAGATAGCTGGGTTGAGTCCCCAAAAAGAAAGTCATTGAAAAATAAGAAAAGTTGTAGTGGAATATGGAATTACAGTGTGTTGTGGAGCAGCAGCAACAGTAGAGTAGTTTTACAGTTGTTGCAGCAGCAGTAGTAGAAGGTGACAATAGCAGTATTGGTGTTAATAGTAGCAGAAAGGGGAGAGACGGAGTTGCACCCCTATGAGGAGGAGAGAAATGTGCGAGGACACAGTCTGTAGCACTGGGGCAGAGAGCAAAGCAAAGGAAAGACACACCCGCATAATTAACATCGGCATGCTGCAGCCAATTAAATATTTACAGAGGCACTTCCCTTTGACACCTTGATGATGAAGAGAGGCAGCCTAAGGATTATCCGATGCCGGGAGCCTGAGGCAGGAGACAAGGGGTTGGGGGTGGAGGATTAAACATTAACCAGCACA